CTTTTTAGATTATTAGAGGCTTAAGTTTTTATTCAAAGGAGTTTATAAACAAGTAAGGAAGGGTAAAAGAGATACATAAAGACAAGTTTCAAGTTGTTTTAATAAAAGTATAAAGACTTTATTAGTAAGAAAGTATATAACTTCTTGTGAACATCTTTTTTGTATGTGGTCAGAGGATCAGCAGAAAGAGTTTTTTTTAAAAATTTTTAAATATAATAGAGAACCACTAAGATTGTATGTATATTATTTATATATTTTTATTATGTTTATTTATATTGGGCTGCAGTAGTGATCTGCAGGCAATGAAATTAATAGTTGGAAGGGTTTTCACCTGAGCTACTAATGGAACAATAAATCATTCCCAAAGTTGTACTTAGAGTGGTAATAATCAAGATGAGTGAGCTAATTAGAGATTTAGCTTTAGCAATTTATTTTACATGTATAATATACTAATATTTAATAAAGCACATATAATTAGCCTGACAAAGAGTTAAAAATATATATATATATATATTTATTTATTTATTTTGGGAAAACATGTATTTAAAGACTGTCTTTTTCCTTTATTGATAACTCAAAGTTGTCTGCTCCTAGTTTACATTTAATAAAGTTTTTCTTTAACTAATATATATTATGATAAAATAACTTCCTAGCATTGTATATGTTACATATAATGTCTTTGGATAAAAACTCTTCTAGTCAATAATATTATTGTTGGCAGGTTATTACTGTCATATGTCATATCAAGTCTTAGAATACTAGAAACTACAAAAGGATGGGTTAAAAAAAGGAGAAGGGGATATCTAAAAATGTTTAAATAGATAACAAGAAAATGAAAAAGTAAAAATTAAAAAAACCCTGTCCTAGCTTTTTTCAAAGACCTATTTCTCAAGACCTCTTTGTAATAGTAAATGTTCAATTGGAATATTCTTACTTTTTCTAACCATATGAGGAACTTATCTATTCTTAATCTTTATTTTCTTCTTGTGTACCATCTGAGGAGACTTATTACCTAGTGGAAGCCTTTACTTCTAGATAAAGATGAGTCTCTAAAGGAGGAGGCAGGGACAAAAGTCAAATGTCTCTCCTTAGGAAACATTAAAATTTTTAAAATAATAATAATAAAAAAAATACTTACAATTGTTCTTCATTATTTAAATCATTAATTTATAACATTTTCTAACTTTTGTTACTATTAAAGTGAAAAGCTATGAATTTTATTCCTCAAAAAGGAACATAAGTGATCTATGAATTTTTATATACTAAATACTTTAGGGACCCATTATTACTTTCAGGACACACTTGGTTCCAATCTTCTTTAAACAATGATTTTTTATTTACCTATAGTAGAAAGGTGACTTATAATAGATCCCAGGTTCTTATATAACCTAATAGAAACTGGATTATATTGTTTCAGTATGATATCTTTCAGCAGTCATACTTAATTAAAGAAATTTTACTGGTATATATCTTTCATTACCCAAAAGTCGGATTCCTTAATAATCCTTTTGCCTTATAATAGTAAAAGAGTCTCAAAAGTAATAGAGATTCTCATTGATTGTAATATCTTTCAACAACTTTTGGAAAAATATATTCTCAACTGTAATTAAAAGATTGAAACTTAGTATAGACTAGAGACCTTTTAGTCTTATTGCCTAACTAGAATAAAAAGGAGATCTTGGTCTTAAACTTTGTCTGACTGGGATTATAAAAAGAAAGACCTCAGCTTGAATCAATAGCAGCTTTTTTAATACCTGAGAAATTGTTGTTCATATCTTATTGATCTTATGGAACTTGATCTGTAGGCTAACTCAATTGGAGGAGTAATGTGAACATTGGACTAATGATGGATCTTTAAAGTATTTAACATATAAAATTTTGCAGATCACTTATATCCCTTTTTGAGAAACAAAATTTATAGCTTTTCACTTTAATAGAGACAAAAATCAGGAAATACTATAAATTAATGATTTGGATAATGAAGAACAATTATGGATAGTTTTTTTATAGTTTTAATTTAAAAATTTTAATGTTTACTAGTGAGAGACATTTGACTTTTGTCCTTGTTTTTTCTTTTAGGAACCTATCTTTACATGGAACACCAATCAATTCTTTCAATTATCAATAATGTTATCGGAATATATGAGGTGACTAGTAAAGGTTTATTTACATTCAGTTACTAATATGTTTTGTGTCAACCAATCAGAACTAGGTGATATTGTGCTACCAAATATTCAGGATTAAACTGAGATAGGCAAAATCCCTCAAGAAAACTGTAAAAAACAGTAGATATTTTAAGAGGGTACAAAGACAGTATGTAAAAAGATGAATAATAAGCCTTTCTCTACTGACAAAATCTCTATTTTTTGTTATTTCTAGTTCTGTAAGATAATATATTACTTGTTAATCCTTTTACTTCCTAAAACTTTTTTGTCCTTAGTAAAGAAAGTGTGTACTTAAGTCTTTTCAGATCACTAGAGGTTCAAGTTTTTATTTAAAGGAGTTTATAAACAAGTAAAGGAGGGTAAGTGAGATATGTGAAGATAAGCTTCAAGTTATTTTAATAAAAATATAAAGACTTTGTTAGCAAGAAAGTATAAAACTTCTTGTAAACATCTTTTTTGTGTATAATCAAAGGATCAGCAATATAGTAACTAAAATTCATAAAAACAAAAAAATAATAAATAATCAAATTTTTTATATTCCAAATAAAATATTAATTCCTAAAATAGAGTTTAATATAGTATAGTTACTTTTAAAAGTTTAAATCTATTTACTATGTTTTTATTATAAATTTTAACTTTAACAATTTTTAAATCTTTAATTACACAATCAAAAATTATAAAATTTATATATATTATATCTTAATACTTATTCTACTGTATTTTTTATATTTTCCAAAAAAAAATTTCTATATATAATTTTTATTATCAAAAAATTTATTTTTTATATAATTTTTATATTTGAATAATTTTGATTAATTGTTATCATAAATTATATAATAATTAATAAAAAAATAAAAATATTTAACAATAATAAAACTTTAAAAATTATATACAGTATAAATTTTTTTTTAAAAAAATAAAGAAATAGAATAAATATTAAGATATAATATATAATTGCTTCCAAATATTTGAGTCTACTTATTATATTTTTATTATAAATTTCAGCTTTGATAAATTTTAAATTATTAATTATATAATCAAAATTTATAAAATTTACATATATTTCTATATTAATACTTATTCTATTTTTTTATATTTTTTAAAAAAATTTTTTATTAATATATTCCAAAGTTTTATTATTATTAAATATTTTTATTTTTTTATTAATTATTATATAATTTATAATAATTGCAATCTAAATTCTTTAAAAATAAAAATTTGATAAAAAAAAAAAAATTTTTAACAATAATAAAACTTAAAAAATTATATATAAAAATTTTTTGAAAAAAATATAATAAATAAAATACAATAAATATAAATTTTATAATTTTTAGTTGTATAATTAAGGATTTAAAAATTGCTAAAAGTGAAATTTACAATAAAAACATAGTAAATGGACTCAAACTTTTGAAAGCAACTATATATAAATTTTATAATTTTTGATTATTAAAGATTTAAAAATTGTTAATATTGAAATTTATAATAAAAACATAGTAAGTGGATTCAAACTTTTGGAAGCAATCCTGAAAAATATGCAATAATATAACTAAATATGAAGTATAACTCAAGTCTACAAACTAATCAATTTATTATATTTAGTTAAATTTTATTTAAGAATTGATCAAAAATAAAATATACAGTATAATACAATAAATAGGTAAGTTTTTTTATTATATTCAATATATGATTTATTAATAATGAACTCTATACAAAAAAAAATTTTTTTAAATTAAATATACTGTAAATCAGATCGTAAAGATCCTATGCTTTATGTAATGTAGGATGTAAGATTTTCAAAGTTACTAAGATTGTTTTTTTTTTATTCAAACGTCTAATTTCATTTACAGAAAAACGTGAGTACGATTATGTTTATAAGGGTGACATCTTTTGAAGTTTTTAACGAATGTATATCTACACATCACGCCTTTTCATTTCCTAAACGTACTAGATTAGTGGATTCGCAAAAAAATTGTTCAAAGGACATATTGTACAAGCGAAAAAAAAAAAAGAAAAAAAAAAGAAAAGAATCAATTAATAATTCTAAGTTTTAAAAGCAAAAAAGAAAAAAGGAAAGAAAAAATAATCTTACACACAAATGTAGTAACGAGGCATACATACATATAATAAATATATATATTAATGACTTCGTACGTAAGAGAATTATCGTTTTGCTTTTATTGTAGAATCGACATGTTTATGTATCTTGCTCTCATTAATTCTTCAATCCAATCCATATTACCGCATCCCATAACTCTTTTCATATTTTCGCCATCTCTTATGTCGTCCCACTTCGTAACTGCATAATCTAAAGCAGCCTCTTTCAAACGAGAATCGCCAACCTCCCAAGCCAACATTAATATTTCGTCCCAATTGTCACTGTTAACCATGTCGGCGATTCGGTCCGCTACCATCTCTCCAAATCGTTCAAGATTTAACATATCGGCCTTCGAGTAAACATCTTTTAACACATCAAATTCCAATCCTTCTTCAAGCTTTCCGGTATAAAGATAATATAGTATAGAACGAAAAGTGGTGTATTCCATATGTTTTATTGGTATTGTCTTCATTTGACCTTCTTTCCACTTGTCGCCAAGTAATTTTTCAAAGTAAGCAGATCTAGTAGCTAAAATTATGCGATGTGCTTTAATCTTAGAACCACAATCGAAAGTAAATTCGACATCGCTAAATTTTCCGTCATCCAGATGTTGTTTAAACGAGGGAAATTCGGGCTCGGTATGTTCAACTGGTTCATCTGTTGAACCGATGGTTGAAGAGGCGTTGAAAATCTGTACCCTTATAAGTAGATCAATTTCGGCTGTACTATCATTGTTTGGAAATAGGTTTTCAAAGGAGCAGAAGCGATGACGACCAAAGTCGTCCAATCCATCAAATTCAAATTTCATAGTGAAGGTCTCATTCCGAATCAGAATAGGAGTTGGTGAAGAGGAAGAAGAAGATGGATCCGAAGTGAGACGAAATACCTCCAATTTAAAAGTTTTTTCTCTCCATGTTATGCTTGTTTGCTTTTCATAGGGAGTTTGTATAGCTACCAAGTATAAGGAAATATGAGTTTTTGCAGCTTCATTGACACCATTAGGATATAATTTGATTCTCCATAAATATGGATGATCATTCTGTTTGTTTTTTACGGAGGAATCGTTTGTTAATGGTGGACGCGGAGACCAGAATCTGTCACTTAGTACAAAACTAGAGTTCGGGTAAAAGGTGACAAGTTCATTGAAACTTCTGATCGTCCAAGAATAAGTGAAGTGGTTTTGAGCATATTTCGAAGGTTGTCTTGCTGCCTGATCTGTAGTCATATCACGAGTTTCGTTACTTCTGACTGGAACCGAAGGTCCACTTTCCCTATTAAGTCGTGACCGCGAACGGATAAACCGTTTTCTGGTTGTTAAAGGAGGCATATTGAAGAAAAAGATATTGTCAGAAAGTGGTAATAATATAAAAATACTTCTTCGATAAGATGTATCAATCCCAAAAAAAACAGAGTTTAAGTTTATATGTTAACCACTTTAAGGAACACACCAATTACGTACAAAGAAAATTTGTTGGGCATCAAGAAACTACTCGCGGATACGGGAAAGAGAAAAACATTTGAAACAATAAAGCAGAAAATGATGACGTAATTAATCACAAATACATATTTTTCCGAAAATAAGAACCCTTTTTATAATAATAGATGAAATATACAGTATATATTTTTTTCAAAATATACAGTATACAGTATATAATATTAATAAATAAATTTTTTTTCATGAAAAAAATTTTTTAGATAATTTTTTTATTCTTATTTTTATATATATAACAAATAAAATCTAAAATTATTGAATATACAGTATTTTTTTTTTAATTCACAGTCAAGTCAGCATAACATGTTTTTATTATATATATGTTAGATATTTACAAATTGTTATGACTTTCATATACTAGCTCACTTGTCATAGAAAAATTATTTTTTTAAATACAACCTAGGAAAAAATATTTTGTTTCTTTACTATTTGAATAACTTTTTTAATTAATTTTTTTTTTTTTTTTTAACCCGCAATCATGCCACAATAGCGTATCTTTATTGAAAAATTGAAAATAAATTTATAATATTTTATAGACTTTCACAAAGTGACTAACTCGTCTTTATACAAAAGTACTCTAAGTCAGATTTTGG